GTTAGTGAGTCTGTTTGGTGTCTGTTAGTGAGTATGTGTTTTGTAAGTGAGTGTGTATGTGTCTGTCAGTGAGTGTGTATGTATGTTTGTCACTGAGTGTATGTCTGTCAGCAAATGTGTCTGTCTGTTAGCTAGTGTGTATGCGTCTGCTCGTGAGAGTGTGTGTGTGTCTTCAGCACTTACCTTTCTCCAGCGCCGGACTCCCTTGGCGCTGGGGATCCCTCTGGGGAATGCGCGCGCGCATTCAAACCGCCAATAGGAAAGCATCACTCAATGCGGAAGCTCCTCGATGAGGCTGGATTAACCCTCAGTGATACATAGCAGTTTCTCTGAAACTGCTATATTTTCAATGTGGCTGAACCAACCTCCCCACTATGCACTGGAGAAGCCTGGCTGCCCGCCTGCTGCCTTTAGACTATGGCCCCTGGAAGACTGAAAACTTATGGACTTTTATTGGGTGTGTATGGCCCTTTAAGACAGTCGGTGGGCATATTGGGGCTTATGTACGTTTTATGGGACTGGTGCTGGCCCTTTAAGCACCTTTTTGGGGCATAGGGAAAATTGGGACACTGCCCCTTTAAGACGATGTCCCCAGACTTGTTTGTCCCCTGTGCCCCAGACCGGGTTAAAACCCTTTGTGCCTAGCTATTTCCCACTTGGTTCAGTAAATGGGGCTTACTGAACCAAGTACCACACAGGCGGACCACCTGTATTGGGTGTGTGTCGGCAATTTACCTCCCAGAAGCTGCAGTTAACCGCAGCTTAATTGACAATGCTGGGTGGCCTTTGTTCATTTGCCGAACACGTGGCGGCGGCCATCTTTGTTCATTCGCACGAGGTCAGCGGTATGTGTAGCCAAATTCATGGAACTAAAATCGGCTACACATTTCCGCGAACACCGCTGAGCCCTACCTTCTCCCACAACGATTTTGCAGCCGCAGAGACTAAGTCCCATTCGGCGTTTTTTCAGCCTAAATAGACCGACCGCACAGCCCAAATCTATGGAACTGTTTTGGGCAGGAAAATGTGCTTGCGGTCGGTCATAAAGGGACCTCCAGCTAACTTTTTAACCCCTGGATGGATTTGGCTGATTTTTGGTTATATATATATATATATATATTTGAAGGTTGCTGATTCTAAACGGCGGTTTAACCATTTTATGCCTGGGGGTGCAGTTACATTCAGCTACAGGGTGAAATTAAAAACTAGAGGGACCTGGCACCCAGACCACTTCATTGAGTTGATGTGATCTGAGTGTCTGTAGTGGTCCTTTAAGTGTATGTGTATCTGCATGCACTGGCGTACATACTGCGGTCACAGGGGTCGCAGCCCTGCGATCCCTGTGACCATGTGCCCGCCGCCATGTGTTGTGACCCGGGCCCACGCAGAGTAAGTTTTCGTACCGGGATGCCCCATGGGTTGTGTGTACGTTACTGCAAGAGGGAGTGGGGTAAACTTACACAAAAAGGTAAGGATAGTATTAGACTAGTGACAGTTGCAGAAGAGATATCAGGTGGGAGGTATTAACAGTTTAATTGATACGCTTTTATGAAGAAGTGGGTTTTAACTATTTTCTGAAGGAGTGGAGACTGGGTGAGCATCTAATGGAGGAGGGAAGCGTGCTCCACCGGAACGGTGCAGCCCTCGATAAATCTTGAAGGCGAGTATCAGAGGAAGCTCACTTAGTTGCAGCTGAAACTAGTAGCTGCCTTGGATCATTATCCTTTCCAAGAATCCTGGGTTACGGTTTTGAAGGCTGTATGTACAGAGCCCCGTATCAGTTCTAAATGGCTTTTTCACTGTTAAGCAGAGATTCTCAGTCCCTTGCAAACTAAGCTTCGATCATAAAATGGTGGAGGCACGCTCTAATTAACACCATACCAAGTGGATGGGCTGAGAGCATCACCTTAACACTGAAACCTTGCTCCACCTCTGCCATATTGTAATTGGAGGCCGAGTCATTATTTAGCAATGATGGGGGACCTGGCACACATGAATGTGAGATACAATAACCACTTCAATCAGTCGAAATGGTTATGTTGCCTACAGAACTACTTTGTGTTTAGTTGCCCAGAAGAGATTAGTTGCCCACTAACCGCTGAATGGCAGTGAACTAAAATCTGAATAGGAAAACTAATTAAAATAGGCAAACTGTGCCTATAAGATAGTTGGAGAATTTCTCCTGATTAGCTGCTTTTCAATTTAGAGTTTAGAGAATAAACCCACCTAAATCATCAGTGTTACTGTGCAGTGGCATATTCATTCATCATTCAAAAATTAATTTAGGAAAACACTCCAAGCACCTTAAATACTCCAGAGCACTGTAGTGGCTAGGATGCCACGAGTTCCTTTGAGGTCCCCTTGCGTAAGTTGACAAACCATTTGATGTCTGACCTGGAGTGCTGCTACCTGCCTCTTCCTTGTGGTATTGAGAACCAGAAGCTCCTGCTTGGAGCTCCTGTACTTTGTCATAATTAACTAGCAACTTAGTCAGCTTTAAAGACAAAGAAAGGTGAACTGTATCTCGAGAATGGTGGGTTACATTTTGTTGGTGACTTTAGGAAAATCGTCTGAAATGGCCAGCAACTAAGACATGTTTTATTTTGTTGTTTGGAGAAATTTACAGCAGGTATCTGGTTGTTTGGTTAGGTGCTCTTTATTACTTATCAGATATGGCCCAAGCTGTCAGAAAGAGCTTGAGAAACATCACTCTTGCAATATATATTACATATTAAATGAAGAGTCATTTACGTCAAGTTCTGGAAGTGATTTTAGATGTAATTTTCTTTTGAGTACATTATATATGATATATATAGCATGTTTGTCACAAATGAATTGTCTGGATTTACTAAGATGATCTGGTATGGTTACAAAGAGATTAGGAGTATCTGTACATAAATATGTAGCACTGTACATTTTCAGCCCGGTTTGGAATACAATATTACCATGAAAAAAAAATCCCTTAAGGGAGTAGATGGCGTACTGGAAAGATCTCTAGTGGGGATAACCCACAAACAAACTACATAGACATTGATAGTCTGATGTACCAAACGATATATAAGATATGGTCATATACATCTTTTGGTATATTAGACTATCAGTGTCTTTGGAAAACAATATTCCTGCTCCACCCACGGCCCCTCCTTAGGAGTGCCACCCAAAAACACGAGATGAGCCAAAAAGTGTATAGAATCTCAGATGAAACCAAAAAAAATTGTAATCCATTTTGAGAGCCACATTAAATTTGCAGTGGATTACCATTTCCTTACCAAAAGCTCTCTTAAGACAGAAATACTGGTACTTTGCTAGTATGTAGGTATTAAGGTTTTCTGTTCATTTTTTCTTTTGTTTGTGTTGTGTAATTTTTTTGTAATGTTTTTATTTGTATGCACTGTAACAAATTCATAATAAATGTTCCTTTATTAAGTTCTGCCTTTGTCTGGTATAAGACTTACATTACTGAATTGACATGGATATAGTACTGTGATTTCATAGACATTTTTGGTTAAATTGTGTTTTGTAAATTTTTCATCTAATCTGGACCAAGGACTCCCCATTTTACATTTTCCCAGTGGTGGCAGGTTTTATAACCCTGCTCCCTTTTTTCTCAAAGCATCTGGAAAGACTTGTCTTTACCCATCTGACTTGCTTCCTCAATTCCAACTCTCTCCTTGACCCTCTTCCATCTGGATTCCGCCCCCTTCAACTTCACGGAAACCGCTCTGATTAAAAGCTAAAAATGATCTAATTGGGGGGCGTGTCTGGCAGCCGGAGAACACAGCCGCTTAATCACTGAGCTCCCCGCTTGGGGAAGGGGACTGACTGCACAACGCTCCCAGCAATCAAAAGGGGGTATGCCATACGGATAGCAAGCTTGCTCTACGTACCACATGGGAGGGAACCCAACCGCTTTGGGGTGGGGGAATGGGATGCAGGACATGCTTTTACAGCAATGGTGGACTCTGGGACCATATGGGGATCTATATGTACCCTTACTCCCACCCACACCCTAGACGGCAAGACCACTATCCCTAACCAAAAAAACATATATACATATACCTAGCAGTTAGATAACAGGTTGGGAGATTGTACCTAGCTCCGAGAGGGGAGACGCTACACATGGCCACTCGCCTCCCACCTCACCAGATCACGATGACACCAAGGCCAGGGGGAAACTGGCACAGAGAGGCACGAGCTGAATCATTGTCTTTAGCAATCGGCTAATACGCCGCAAAGGTTGATGTCAAATTGCCACCAACACTGTACACAATGAACCGGGACTGAATGCCATCACTTTGTTACGCACCTGCACGACAGACTCCCTTATTGCAAAGCAACTAGAACTGGGGGGACAGAGGTACAACCCAACGTTACAGAGAGATAGGCTAGGACTCCCACACCTGGAACCCCGCCCGCTGCGCAGCCAGCCCGTGGACAAACGCCTAGGCAGAGATAAACACCCCTGGGATCCCCAGATTTAGTGGACCCCCCCTGGGGCCCACTTTGGCCCTCACCACTCAACCCACCTATCCATATAACTGAGCTAGAGCTCGCTACCCAGACCAAACAAACAGCCACATTTTAAAACCCCATCGTCCATCACAGGAGTACCCCGAGACTTAGACGCCGAGGCAGGCAGAACCATGTCCAAATAGACCCATCCACAGCTATAAGAATGACCACTCACAACAGACAACCCACACACCCACCGCAGCGAGAGGTGTAGCAGACACACTGGACCCAAGGCCACATTGGAGACAGGTACTCCCATACCACAAACAGTAGACACACTAATATAACGCATCCCTACTAAATAGTAGGTACAGCAAGACGCTATAAGGCAGGACTCACCACCCTAGCCCGGCAACCCGCTGCCCCCACAGGGACAGGACATAGTGATCCCCCACTAGGGGGGTGAGACTCCAACCCCGGAGTAGACCCAGACCCAGCACATAGCTGGAGCGAGGAGCCTGACTACCGGGATACTTGTCCGTTAACCTACACCCGATCCGGGTTCAGACAGAGCAGCACGAACCACTGTCGGCTTGGTTCCGCACCCAGATACAGCCACAGCAACGACACATTACACACATATAAACCCATAGCCATACAACCCCCCCACCCCCCACCTCAGACCACGCAGCCCTCTCTGGCCGCTCCCCGGGGTAGTGCAGATTCGCCCGGGAGGATCTGTCAATCATCTCATACAACATCCACAGCCTAAACATCCGGGAGAAGCGCTCCAGACTCCTACGGTACCTTAAACACTACGAGGTGTCCATAGCGTTCCTCCAGGAAACACACTTCCAAGAAGGACGAGCACCGGCCCTGAAGGATCGCAACTTTCAGATGGGATACTTTAGCAATAACTCAGACTGACGCACACTAGGGATAGGCATCCTATTCTCTAGACGGATCCCATACATAGAACACACCACCATCAGCTGCAAACAAGGCAGATATGTCTTCACACAAGGCACCATCCTGGATCAGACCTACACCTTCGCCAGTCTCTATGCCGCAAACTCGAAACAACACTGCTTCCTCCGCAGCGTGCTTAATACACTGATGAAATTCGCGGAAGGCACCCTGGTCATCGGAGGAGACCTGAACTTGGCGCTACATCCCGAGCAAGACTCGACAGCCAGGCAAGGAAACACACCCAACAACAGAAATGCCAACACGCTCCGCCTCCTCCACCACCACCAACTCGCGGAATGTTCGCGAGCACTACACCCATCGGCTCATGACTACACCTTCTACTCCACGACACACTCCTCATACACCAGACTAGACTACTTCCTCGTGCCCCACCACAACCTCATTCTACTTAAAGACTCAGAAATCCTACCCATGACATGGTCAGACCACTGCCCAATCCACATACGAATAAAGTCACCCCTGTTCAGACCCAGACAAACCTCTTGGAGACTGAATGAGTCGATCCTCTCGGACGCACTGGAAATGGACAAGACCAGACAGTCCATTCAAGAATATTGCACAGACAACGAATTAGGAGATATGTTGCCCTTGATGTGCTGGGAGGCACACAAGGAGGTGATCCGGGGACAACTTATCACAATATGCTCCACCCGTAAGCGGGAAGCAATACAGGCAACAACGGACCTCAGCAGGGAGATCGCAACCCTGTAAACCAGACAGAAACGCACCTTGGACGCGATGATTTACAGAGACCTGGTCATCAAATGGAATCTACTCACCACACTCCTGAACTGCTCGATACAACGCTTATACCAACACTTCAAGCACGTAATACACGAACACGTGAACAAATGCGGGAGATTACTGGCGAACCTCCTAAAACAATGCAAGTCCCAACTGTACATCCCGAAAATCAAGGGCCAGCAACACCTAGACCTCCCGGACCAAATCTCGTCCGCGTTCCTTACCTACTACCAGGAACTGTATCATCTACACCAGGACGCACCTGGGTAGCTGCGCCCCACCAGGCTCGAAGAGATCCAGAGAAACCTGGAATCCGCAAACGTGACCAGGCTCGAAGACACTGACTGGGAAGGACTGGAAGCACCCATCTCTACCGAGGAACTGACGCACACTATCAAAAGAGCAAAGACGGGCAGGGCACCAGGCCCAGATGGCTTTCCCCTCTCGTACTACAAGACCTTCCCCCAAGACCTCCTCCCGAACCTGAAAGCAGTCCTCAATTCTATCCTGGAAGGGGCCACATTGGCGAATATCACCCTTCTCCCCAAGGAAGGAAAGGACCCAACACAATGCCCAAGCTACCCCCAATCTCCGTGCTGAACACTGATCTCAAACTCCTGGTCAGTGTCCTGGCGGCATGCCTAGCACCACTGCTACCAAAGACAGTGCACCTGGACCAAACGGGATTCATCCCAGGGAGAGAGGTAAGGGACAACACCATCAGAGCCCTGAACATCATAGCCCAGGCCAGATCAATGAAGACCTCAGTCCTTCTCCTGTCCACAGACGCAGAAAAAGCGTTCAACAGGGTGGACTGGGACCTGATGTTTGGTGCACTTCGGAACCTCGGCATTGGACCAAAATACCTTGCCTGGGTAAAGGCACTATACACACACCCAACCGTCCGCATTCGGATCAACAGAGCACTGACCGACCCGTTGCAGATCCATAATGGAACCAGGCAGGGCTGCCCGCTATCGCACCTGTTCTTTGCACTGACCTTAGAACCCTTCCTTAACAAAATCAGACATAACGACATACAAGGGATGAAAATCAGAAAGACCCACCACAAAACCCTGGCCTACGCAGACAACCAGGGCCGCCATCAGGGCATGACAACCATAACGGTTGTCATGGGCCCGGTGGTCCTGGGGGACCCGGACTACTCAGGATGTCCTGGGCCCCACATTCAGTGGTGTACATACCGGGGTCGCAGGGGGCCAGCCACTGTGGCCAGCCTCATCACCGAGGCTGGCCCTGGTGTCACGTGCTCCCTCTTCAGCCCACTCACGCACCGCACTGATGCCGGAGCCGGAAGAGGAGGGAGCTGAAGAAGAAGCACTCAGCCAGGGAGAGTGCTCCCTCGTGCGCCCGCCCGCAGGACCGGCCGCCGGGTGACACCACTGGACCCCAGGGAATCCCCTCAGCACTCCTACAGGTAGGGAGGCTGGGGGGATGATATTTAAAAAAAAAAGTGTGTGGAAGGAAATTGGAGGGGGGGGGAGAAGAAGGAAATTGGAGGGGGGGAGAAGAAGGAAATTGGAGAGGGGGGGAAGAAGGAAATTGGAGAGGGGGGAGAAGGAAATTGGAGGAGGGGGGACGGAACGCTGGCACTCCGACTGAGTACCTCCGCCAATCGATGCTCCTAGTGCTCGCTGAGGACTCCAAGCACTCCAACCGACACCATCAGCACTGCAGACCCCACTTCCAGCGATGCAACTGCGCCGTGGTCTCTGCTGTTTCCACCCACCCTGGACCCAAGGCCAGGATCCAGCTTCCAGTGGGTGAACCTCTCTTTCCCCAGAGAGCAGGAACAGGAACAAATCAAGTTATTGCAAGAGCTTCCTCTGGGGAGTAAGTGATTATAGCAATCCCCAGAGTGTAGGTATCCCTTCCCCCAAACATGAGCCAAGGCTTAATGCTGGAACAAGACTAATTTACTGGCACACAGAACTCACAATTTATGCAACACAAAACTCTTCCTCTGGGCCAGGCTAGATAATTGAGTTTCTACAATACACAAAGCTCAATTATCTGCTGGCCAGAAATAATACAGTTTAATGCAGATTCTGCAGACTATATACAGGCTAAATGAAAAACAATCACTTTATAATGTGTCCCCTGCTGTATAGTCCAAAACCACTGCACGATGTCTCTGTGTACCAAATACTGGCGAGATGGCACCGTGTTGAAAAGTCCACACAGTGTCTGTGAGTTAAAATGGCCGCCATCCATTGTTCTCACCATGTGCTTCTGATACAGGAAATGGTGGCCACCCAGTAACTCCACAGTATGTCCCCAGATGGTTCTTAAAGGGCCAGCAGCAGCACAACACAAATCCATTATGCCCAAATCATGTCTTTAAAGGGCAACACATCCCAGGGGCCATAGTCACAGGGCAAGAGGCGGGCAAGCAGTCCTCTCCAGGCACAAGTGGCGAAGGGCACTTCGTCACACATCTTCCCTTTGGGGGGAAGACTAAACAGGTACCTGACCTTCTGCCGGTCAGTACCTAGATTAGTCGGGCAGCCCACCCACAAAGAAAAATACGCAGAGTAACCCCCCATAATAAATGGTACTGGCCTGTAGGTTCAAGTTTGTAGTGGGACAGCGCAGCACTCTCGGTCTCCCTGGTGCAGCTAGGCAAACTGCTGGTGTTGCTTGGGGGGCAGAGGCCAGCGGCGCTCTGCCCTGCTGCCAGCTCTTCCACTGGGGTAACCCGTGGTAAGTCAGGCTCTGATACAGGGGAAAAGGGGGGGCAGAGGCTAACAGAGCTCTGCCCAGAGGCCAGCTCTTCTGCTGGGAGGGGGTCAGTGGGTATTGCAGGCTCATCCACTGCCCCCAGGACCCGGTTGGGATGTAGCTGGGGAGGGGAAGTTTTGCTTACCTCCTCCTCCTGGCATCCCTGCGGGGTTGGTTGGGGATCTGGACCGCCCGTCCAGCCTCCCTGTAGGACTGGCACAGAGACTGCGGTCCCATCTGCGCCAGTGTGGTTAGGTTTGTCTTCCCCCTCTCCCGGTATCTCTGGCTGCTGTTGGAGGGGGAGGCTGGTTGCTGTAAGGTGGAGGGATCGACCATCACCTCCTCCTGGAACTCAGGCCGCCGCTGGGGAAAGAGACCAGTTTTCTCCTCTCCCTGTATATTATGCTGCCGCCGGGGACCTGGGCTGACTGCCCAGCATCCCTGTAGGGCTGGCAGAGAGACTTCGGTCCCATCTCCGCTTGCCATCTCTGTGTGTCCCCAGGACACGTCTATGAGGTCCACTACCTCAGGTACCTCTGGTTGGTGGAGGAGAGGGAGGCCGGTTGCCTCCCCTCCCCAAGACGCTGGTTGCTGTATGGGGGAGGGATCTACCATCACCTCCTCCTGGAACTCAGGCTGCTGCTGGGAAGGGAGACCGGTTGTCTCCTCTCCCAGTGAGATACACTGCCGCTGGGGATCTGGGCCGGGTACCCAGCATCCCTGTGGGGCAGGTGGAGAGACCTCGGTTCCATCTCCACCTGCCATCCGTGGGTCTTCCCAGGACCGTTCCATAAGGTTGCTCACCTCTGGGGCTGGTTGGACAGAAGAGGGTAGGGTGTCCAGGTAATCCTCTGGGCTGAGGGACGGTGATTGGGCCAAGTTGAACAGGCGTCGATAGCTCTGCTCCAGCCCCCACTCCATTGCGACCAGATGACTCAGGTCTGGCCCCAGGTCGTCCGCTCGGGGAAGATCCAGCAGAGTTTCCCTGATGTTGTGGATGTCCCAGAACCGAAACTCTGTGGGGCATCCAAAGTCATCGCCCTCCTCATAGGCCTCCCACAGTAAGCCCGGGCCATTATAATCCTCTCCCTCGGGCAGATAGTGGTTAGTCATCGAGGGGTTGCGCTGGGTGGCGTACCACTTTAATGCCCGGTAAGCTGCATCTAGCCACAACTCCTTCCAAATTAAATCCCAGAGTTCCAACAACCATTCATCCAAGGGTTGCTCCCCTAGGAAAGGGGAGCGCAGGGCCTCGAGTACCTGGAACCGCTGCTCGTCACTGGGAAGGCTCTCTCCCCGCCGCCGTTGTACCTTTTCCAGGGCATCGTGCCACATCTCCGTACGAGTGACATCTCTCCAGTCCAGTATGCACTCCTCTGATACAGGCCCGTCCTGTTGGGCCAAGTGCTGCTGCAACCTCCAGCGAAACTCCTCTTCCATGTTGCTGTGGATAGGGACGCTGCCCGTAGCTAGCTCTATCCCTTGAGTTCCTCTGAAGCCAGGGTCGCTGCACAAGTGCTAGCGTTGCCCTCAATTATAAATCCGTAACTCCACACGTTACCGGTGTCTCCGAGCTGCTGGTCCTCGCACTAGGACGCCATCCCGCCGCTGCCACCAAATGTGACGGAACGCTGGCACTCCGACTGAGTACCTCCGCCAATCGATGCTCCTAGTGCTCGCTGAGGACTCCAAGCACTCCAACTGACACCATCAGCACTGCAGACCCCACTTCCAGCGATGCAACTGCGCCGGGGTCTCTGCTGTTTCCACCCACCCTGGACCCAAGGCCAGGATCCAGCTTCCAGTGGGTGAACCTCTCTTTCCCCAGAGAGCAGGAACAGGAACAAATCAAGCTATTGCAAGAGCTTCCTCTGGGGAGTAAGTGATTATAGCAATCCCCAGAGTGTAGGTATCCCTTCCCCCAAACATGAGCCAAGGCTTAATGCTGGAACAAGACTAATTTACTGGCACACAGAACTCACAATTTATGCAACACAAAACTCCTCCTCTGGGCCAGGCTAGATAATTGAGTTTCTACAATACACAAAGCTCAATTATCTGCTGGCCAGAAATAATACAGTTTAATGCAGATTCTGCAGACTATATACAGGCTAAATGAAAAACAATCACTTTATAATGTGTCCCCTGCTGTATAGTCCAAAACCACTGCACGATGTCTCTGTATACCAAATACTGGCGAGATGGCACCGTGTTGAAAAGTCCAAACAGTGTCTGTGAGTTAAAATGGCCGCCATCCATTGTTCTCACCATGTGCTTCTGATACAGGAAATGGTGGCCACCCAGTAACTCCACAGTATGTCCCCAGATGGTTCTTAAAGGGCCAGCAGCAGCACAACACAAATCCATTATGCCCAAATCATGTCTTTAAAGGGCAACACATCCCAGGGGCCATAGTCACAGGGCAAGAGGCGGGCAAGCAGTCCTCTCCAGGCACAAGTGGCGAAGGGCACTTCGTCACAGGGGAGAAGAAGGAAATTGGAGGGGGGGAGAAGGAAATGAGAGGGAGGGGGAGAAGAAGGAAACTGGAGGGGGGGAGAAGGAAATGAGAGGGAGGGGGAGAAGAAGGAAATTGGAGAGGAGGGGGAGAAGAAGGAAATTGGACAGGGGGAGGGGAGAACAAGGAAATTGAGGGGAGAAGGAAATGAGAGGGAGGGGGGGAAGAAAGAAATTGGAGAGGGAGGGGGAGAAGAAGGAAATTTGAGAGGGGGGAAAGAAGAAGGTAATTGACGGGGGGAGAAGGAAATTGACGGGGGGGAGGGGGAGAGATTGACATCCATCACACACACACACACACAATGCACCCCTTGCACACAGAAAAACACACAATGCATTACACACAGACACACATACACAAGTAATGCATCCCTTACACACAGCAAAACATAATGCACCCCTTACACACACTCAATGCATCCCTTACAGACGCACACACTGCATCCCATACATACACAAACACACCTTGCAGCCCTTACACATACAAACACATTCACACAATGCATTCCTTACACACATCAGGACATCCCCCCCACACACACTCCACTCCCTGTGAACAAACTCATTGGTGGAACATGAAGGTGGACCCTGGGACCCAGATGTTGAGCTGTGTAAAGGGCCCTCAAAAAAATGGAGCTGCTTCCCGTTCTCCCAGAACATTGATTTTTTTGACCACAGTTACAAACCGCCTCCAGAGAGCCTGTTCTACACCAGACCAGTGGAGCCAGACAGCAACTAGAGCCCATCATCATCCTCATCTGGTTGTAAGTAGGCAATCTAGTATATTATTCGTGGCACTAACCTCTAATTTACCTCACATTAAAGGGGCACTATAGCCCCCAGAACCACTGCAGCTTAATGTAGTGGTTCTGGGGTCTAGCCTGTCCCTGCAGGCCTTTTAATGTAAACACGGCGGCACTGCAGCACTGGCGTTAATTAACATGGCAGATCATATGGGTGGGGCATTGTGATGTCACATGGGGGGGGGCGGCAAACTTTACTTTTGCCTAGGGCAGCAAAAATCCTTGCACCGGCCCTGCAGACACTGCATCCCTGTGGGCAGACTCGAGGGGGCAGCACTTTGGGCGGACTTGGGTGCAGGCACCAGGGGCCCAGACCTTGAGCTGTGTCAGGGGCCCCAAAATTTCTGATGGCAGCCCTGCAGACAACCTCCTATTTATAGTCACGGCCCCTGGTGCCTCCTTATGGGCTATCTTGTCGGAATTTGAGTCCTACGGCCGGGTTTCGAACCTCCAAATTAACTACTCGAAGTCAGAAATACTGGGTCTCTCCATCAATAATACGCTCAGGCAGATGCTCCAGTGTCAATACCCATACCGCTGGTACGACCAACGCATGAGATACCTGGGGGTCTTGCTTACACCAAACCCGGCAGACCTTTACACCCACAACTACCTCCCTACACTGAAAAAGGCGATAGAAGAACTACGCACATGGAATTCATACTACATCTCCTGGCTGGGCAGGGTGAATGCAGTCAAGAGGACAGTGCCGATCCTGCCCCAGACTCATTCTTCTCCACCCTGAAGACAGAGGCCCACAAATTTGTATGGAAAGGCAGGTCTCCACGCATAGCACATTCCCAACTGACGCTGCCTAAACTCCGGGGAGGCCTAACGCTCCCTGACTTCGAGAAGTACTACCACACGGCACACGTTACCAGGGTCATAAGTAGAGGGCAGCACGATACTATGGACCCAGCTGGAATCAGATATCACCAACTGTGACTTAAGGACCTTGCTGTGGATCACCAAAGCCGCATACAGACACAAACATGTACTTAACCCATTCGTAACAGCGACCATGCAGATCTGGCACAGACAAGGCACAAAACAATACTTAACAACAGACCCAGGCCCACTACTCCCATTGAGAAGCAACCCAGATTTCCTGGCGGGGGACCAGGGCCCAATCCCGGGCCTTGCCAGGCACATACCAACCCTGCGCATAAAAGACATAATTCAGCACCCGTTCACCATCCGCACGATGACCGAACTCTTTCCTGACCAACCTCACACATTCACACACACCCTAGCAAGGGTGCAGATAGCACAATACACCCGATCAATCTCCCAAAAAACATCCCTGCTGAGGAAACCGACGCAGTTCGAACTGCTGTGCACGCAAGACCAAGAACCAACCCGGGCCATATCGCAGATATATTGGGCCATTATAATGAACAGAAACCTACTGGCACCCACATGCATCAGACACTGGGAGGAGGACCTGGAAGAGCCCATGACAGGCTTCTCAACACAGCCATGGCAACCATCCCCATCTTCTGGAGACAGACGTGTATGCCGCCTGTGAGACGATGGGTGGATGAGGTGGAGGACATGAAAGCGACCACCCCAAAACACAGAGATAACTACATAAAACGCTGGTTCCACTGGACACGCAGCCTCACCTTGGACAACTTTTTACAACACATCACTGAACCATGAGCAGGAAAGCAAGGGGAGACGAGGCGGGGCCCCGGGGAATGGCGGACTGGAGTGTCAGGGGTCGGCGCAGCCCCGCCGACCCACAAGACCCCCCCTCCACCCCTCACCCTGCACGGAACACCAAATACAGATCAAGGACCACGAACACCAACAATGACCTGGACACATCAACATACTGCCCTAATTGCACACAAACGGAACCCGGGGCACTGAGCCAGGGGACCACACACCGCCAAATGACACTAAACACGCCACCACTACCACGAAACGTAAAATCAAGACTCATGGACACCCACGACACCACACACAACCCAATCACTACCTAAAAACACGATCCAGATAGGGTAGCCCACACAACCACAATAAACCGGGACGGAACAAGGCTCAGTGGGTCATAGAGAAGCGCCCCATTTTATAGACCAGGGGGAACCAACACAAAATAAACCCACTCCAGCTACTCTGACTCCTCACACTGGGGAGAAGCAGACATACGACAAGCAAACAGGCAACTACACCACCACCAGTAGGACTACACCCACACCGAGACACTCGACTAACTACCAGCCGACATTAACCATAGCCACGAGTCACGGACAAACAGAGAATACACATACACATACACATATGAGCACCAGCCAACTACAATGCACCCTATATAAGAACTCACAGATATGACCACAAAACCCGCATGCCATATGATAAGTACCCGCCAGCAGGGCTCTGACCCGACATGCTGTAGGTGCCGACACCCACAGATACTGAGTTAACTAAACCGACAAGCAACACACCAGGACATACAGCGCGGCAACAACTCAGATCGCCCGGGCTAACCCTGACAAAGAATCACCTTAGAAGGTAGCAGCACCCTAGACAACCCAACTACACACACGGGTCACCCCTCAACAAGATCAAGCTCATATGACCAAGCACCCAACGACTAGAACACTCTGAGCCCACTCCTTTTAGTTAGTAGAAATAGACCTCCATCGAAAGCAACCAGGTTATTGCACGGGTAACACATACAACTCTATGGAAATGCAAAGTAATGCCTTATATAGCCACTGTATAGGCACATATGCTAATGCCCTTGCTAAACGAGCAGAGCCTTTGCGTAGGCGATTATGCAGAAACAGTTTGAACGTGTTATGTGTGCGCTAAAACTATGCGTACAAAATAAAAACCATTTAACACAAATGATCTAATTGCGGCAAAATCCAAAGGCCACTACTCTCTGCATTTGACACTGTAGATCATAGCCTCCTTCTCCCAACTCTTCAATCTCTTGGTCTCTGTGACACAGCCCTCTTGTGGTTCTCCTCCTTTCTCCTTAAACCAATGTTTATTAGTATAACATCCACTAATATCCAAAGCCATGTTTAGCTCAAACATATGAATATACTTGAAAGATGTGTGTTTCATGAAGGCCATCATCCTTGCTCCCATCCAGAAATGAGAAAAGAAGCAGTCCACAATGAATAGTGATGGCCATGGTTGTATTTGTCTATCAACAGAAGACAGACAGCAAGGAATTGCCAAAACTTTGAATTACACCCATTAAGTATAGTTAATAATTTAGAATGTTATCTTTACTGTTGTAATGTTTCAGGTAGAAAACTGTCTAGTGTCAGCCATGAAAAGTAGGCAATGTCTTTGTTTCTTATTATAATCTGAGTTAATTCACATGTAGTACTAAAGACTTTCTGGAACACAATGCGTAGGGGGCACGAGTGATGTGGAAGGTGGCATAGACACTTTGATAACCACTGTTCTATAGTTACCTTCACAGCAGAAACAAGAACTGATGGTGATGACCAAGTCAATTGTCAGCTTTCAAAACTGACATGTAAGACTTTTTCATTTATTACTGGCCCTTTAAGTGAACTTCATGATTTTCTCCTCTAGTGGCCTCCCTAGCCACTAATCTATTAACTCACCTTAATAACCTCACCTGGATTAACTAATTAGGAGGCTTGATAAGTCTACTCCCGGCACACAACAGTGCCTTGACATTGAAAGTCTATGCTCTGATAAAGAATCGCTGTTCCTGGTAATATCCTGTATTTTAGCTACATTATTTCATTCTGCATTTCCTCATACTGAAAGGCACTAACCTGCATTACTTCATCCTGAACTTGCCTGAATTACATCTTACCGAAAGACTTTCCTTATCAGCTTCCAAGAATCCTGATTTGTGGCGTATTGCTTTCATTAAGGAATCTTAACTGCTTCAATTGCTGCATCACTGCATGATCTCGTAAGCAACCTGCATTATATTATTTTGGAATATACCTACCTGTTTCAACCTCTGCAACTCTGCATGATCCTGTATTAACCTATAACTAGCTGCATTGCAAAGTATCCTGGAAATCCTTAACTACTTGGTATAACTTCAAGCCTGCTTGTATACAAAAGACTTTATTCATTTACTTTCTAAAGATCTTGTTTGTGGCATATCGCCTAAACCCTGATTTTTCTCACAAAGTATCCTGTTTGTGGTAAACTGCCCTTTATTCTTTATTTTCAGTAAATTTATTATGTCTAATACGACAAAGTTTTAACCAATAACCCTTGCAATCGTCTCCTCTCTGACCTGCTCAGGAGCATGACATCAATGGTTAAATAACCTGCAACTCTGTTATAAACAATACACATCTGTTGCAACTAGTGTCAGAATTCATCAACAAGTAAAATGTTACATTTCACATAAAAGTTAAAGGACCACTATAGTGCCCCCACCCTCAGGGTCCCACTCCCTGCCGGGCTGGTTGGAGAGGAAGGGGGTAAACACTTAACTTTCTCCACCGCTGGGCTTTCTCGGTGCTGGGGACTCTCCTCCTCCTTTCCCCGTCATCGGCTGAATGTGCATGCGCGGCAAGAGCAGCGCGCGCATTCAGCCAGACTCACAGGAAAGCATTCTCAATGCTTTCCTATGGACGCTGGCGTCTTTTCACTGTGAAAAGCACAGCGAGAAGCACGGAGGCGCCTCTAGCGTCTGTCAATGAGACAGCCACTAGAGGCTGGATTAACCCATTTGTAAACATAGCAGTTTCTCAGAAACTGCTATGTTTACAGCAGGCAGGATTAATCCTAGCTGGACCTGGCACCCAGACCACTTCATTAAGCTGAAGTGGTCTGGGTGCCTATAGTGGTCCTTTAATATTTTAAAATAAAAAAATGCAAGGGAAACAAGGTGACCAAGGAAAAGTGGTTCATAAAAGATAAAGGTCAGCGGAGTCTTTCAATTTATGAAATGATGGAGAATATGTCTGAATGATCAAACATAATAGTTATTCTGTAGAGCTAAAGCAATGATGTTGCTAATAGAGAGGACAGTGCTCTCAGGATTATACTACAAGTTATATAGTCTGGAATTTTTGGAACTGGAGTGAAAAGTAGATACAAGAAATGATGGTGGAGAAGGTTTCTCTAGGTACCGTTTATAAAAACAATGGTTTGGCATTGCACGACAATGATCAGGTCACTCATTGATGTGAGTAAAACAGCAAAGTGCTTGTTTTAGGAGAAAAATTAAATTCAATAAAAAATTTTTTGTAAAAGTAATATACTTACTGACTGCATTGTTGTCTTTTATTATGCTCCACTATTTATTTGTAGAAAATACTGAAGCTTCTACTGTCCTCTTTGGCAGGCTGTTGACAAATACAGAGCCAAAGATATTATTTGCAAAAACAATTTGAGGATAGCCAATCAACTGCCGATTGGTGAACCACAAGTTGGAAAACAAAAATGTAGGCATCTGATAAATTTGTAATAAATAGATGGGGGGTGTAGTTTACATGGTCGTCACTGCACACTGAGTATTTTTTTGAATATTTCCTAGCAGGTCGTATCAGTGGCTGTTTTGCCCATACTGTTTGTAAATATTGGACTACATTCACACAGGACACCACTTTGAGAATACTTCATTTCATAGGAGACAGGGAATGTTTCTGCTGATGGACATCCACTTATTTTATTACCATGAAGGCTAACTCTGTTTCACTTTATAGCAGCGGACGTTTGTGACCTCGGTTGATTATATAGTGCCTTTATTTCCTTAAGAAAAAAAACACACAATCAATAAATTATAATGTTTGACTTGTGTGAAGTGCTACAGCCCTTGAGAAAGCCACAAAGAGTAGGAGTCCTGCAGACACGTGACAACATGTGAGATATTCTTTGTGTTGTTTTTTGAGGAAACACTGGAGGACACGCTCACGGATTGCCAGAACAATGCAGTGCTGTAAGTCATGGGACCTTTGTAGTGTCAGCAAGGGGACTGGATACCATATTTCCTCTCTCTAATTAGGCCTCTGATAAAGGAGACAATGACTCTAGGCAAGAGGAACGGTGTATGGTGATATCGTAAATCTGTAAATATGACTGTTGGTTGTGCATAAGACATGTCGGGGTGTATGGTATGACTGTGAAAAAGTGAATGCGAATTAAAAAAAACTGCTGAATAAAAGTCATTTTGAAAGCAAAACACATAGTGAAAAGACATTTATTAAAAAAAAAAACAATCCACAAATACAGTGTGAACATATAGAAACTGATAAACTATAAACATCTACAAACACAGTAGCATCATACATCTAACGAGTTCCTTTACAGATGCTCCATGAATTTACGCAAAATACACTGTACAACAATTACTGGCTAATGTCAAAGGGATAAAAAATGGTGCACTCACAAAAATGACTCCAATACAATCAGAGAGCTCAACAGGCTAGTAAGGCGTTGGAGCTCAGTAATATGTCTGGTTCCATGAGGCTAATGCCCTCTGCGGCCAGAGAGAATCTGATTGGCCAGATCCTATTTACTGGCACATGCTGTGATTAAATGATACAGGTATTCCTGGAAACACCAAAGACGTGAACAATATCTGGAAATAGAAATCAGGGAGTGTAGTGAGAACTATCAATTTCTGTAAATAGGTTGTGGCTGTGGCAACTAAGAATAAGTATTACCCTAGGATCTTATTGGTGTTAGATTAATAAAGAGAGCACCTGTTTTTGTGTATAGAACACTATATCGAAGACTAAAGAATCCAGAATATAAAAAAATATACTGGTCCAAAATGGGCACATAAAATGAAAGGAGAGAAAAGCACAAATAAGGGTGCGCCTAAGACAAGTAGAATGAGTGTATAAAAATATGTATCAGAGAGTCCAAGCAGCGATACCTAGAAAGTCCGAATATAAATAATCCACATATGCAGGAGGTAGTCCTAGTGCTACATAAAATGGTATGTGAAGTCCCAGATGTATATCCGCAGCTTCAAAATGGATATGTGAAGAAAACAGAAGACAAGGGAAACTCCAATGGTATAGTATGAACGGTAAACTAATATTGTATATAGAATAGTAGAACTACTCACAATATTCAGAGCTTAAATCCAGCTCTGGTGTAAATGGCACGTAGTGGAATAATCCCCACTCAAGGATATACGTTGCTCCTCTTTTGTTCTTTAGCAGAGTACTTTGGTGGAGTAGTCCAGCTCGAGGTAAAAGAATAAAATATAGTGCTCACTGTATAGTTGATAAAATGTAAAAACAGAATAAAATATACTCACGGTATATAGAGCAGACGTACTGCTCGGTGGATGGCGTATGGGTTGTATAATCCCCACCTTAGGATTCTTGGTACTCCAATATGGACAAAAAGGTAGTAGTAGTCAGGTCTGAATAAAATAAACTTGCAAATAGTAAAATAATAAAATTATACTAAAAGAAGGTAATATAATACTAAGGTGGAAAGGGGAATGTGGCAACCAAATGTATAATAGCCAAATATTCCTTTATTAACACTTAGATTATATAAAAAGTTCCTATACGCGTTTCGCCACAATAGGCTTCATCAAGTAGAAACTTATAAAATGAAAGCCACACTCTAAGCAATGTAAACAGCTCATTGTACGGGTGATGGGTGCCATCCCCCCACTGTTTGAAGGATTTGACAAGAAAAGGGCTCTCTTGGTGCCTAAAGGCCTACTGTAGCTTCGCTAGTCCAGACATGACCATCCACATTAACAGCCACTAAAACTGAAAACACCACTGTTTACCACCACTAAGCTTCCCTTATATCTGACTTCCTCCTCTACAACCAATGCATTTATTACGGTTTCTTTTCTAGACGACAGCCATGTCTTTATTCAATGTTACAGACCTGGACTCTGCCCACATGTCCTCTTACCTCACTGACAGCACCATGTCAAGTCCTCACTCATCCTGCAAAGTAAACCGACCATAAATAACGTGATTTTACCCCTGTGCCATCACCATTCCCACCATACCATAATCCACTAGTTTCTCACTTTTCACCAAATTGTTACTTTTCCTCCTCTATGCTGACAAGCATTACCTCCACTTTTCATTCTCACATCTTTGTATCCAAAAATATTTGTGTCCTCAAACAATGTTCCTGAAAAGCCAACTATTTGTTTACACAATGTTTGATGCTCCACTGTTCATTCCACTATGAGATCTCATGTAATATTTGTAGCCGAGCGCTAGTCCTGACCAGGACTCTCCTCCACTGGATCCACGAAAACAGGAAGTCTGGAACAAGTTGCTAAAATGTGAATAGCTCTATCCCTCCCCAGTAACTGAACAACACACAGTTCTGGGAGTACAACTAGTTTATTCAGCTCAAACACAGCGTCTTATGCACAGACCCCAAGCATGGAGCCTCCATACAAAATATACAGAAAAACGAATAAACACACACTATACTTGTCACAATGTACAGACAAATGTGACAAGTTGTGTAGTCTGGAAAATGAAAAATAGCCCGATTATAGTAGAATATTCGGTATTAATACACAAAAGCCCATGTTCAAAAATAAATGGAATGTCAAAAACTATCAATATTATATGATAGAAATAGAGTAATTAAAATTGAAAGGGTAATAGAAGTGAAAAATTCAAACAATTCAAAAATGCTCCACAATATACACACATATATAGACGTAGGAGTAGTTAAGTGTATGGGTTTCTAATATCTATATATGTGAGCTTTATTGTGTCTGGCTCTGTAGATATTGAAACACCATCTATTATAATGTACTCAAAAAAGATATATGTATGTATTGATATAACCCTTCTTGGTAATATATAATCGCATTAGTGCTTCTGATTTATAGATATTCCAATTAATAGGAAAAACAGAGAGATTAATATGCTGCCTGTCAGTATCATTTGTGTATCTCCAGATATACTTCCAATATACCCAAATAGCCACAAACATACAGAGCCCAGAGGCTGATTTCAAGGTGGACAAATGTGGAGATTTCCTTGTAATTTATTTGGGATGGAAGTGACCAAATTATGTGTCTATTAGCAACATATCAAAAGGGTTGGGTCTGTCAAAAGGTTAAAGATAGTTACAGGGTAGAGAGAGAAAAATACAAAATATATATATATACATAATGTTATTGATGCTTCCCATTTTAAAATATTCTAATTAGTAGGAAAAAGAGATATTAATATGCTGCCAGAAAGTATGTCAGTAGATTATAAATTATAAATCTCATGTATCTAAAAAACCACAAATGGATCAGAAGCTGATCTCTCCCAAAGGCTGATTTTTAAATTGACAAATATAGATATTACCTTGTAGGTTATTTGGAAGTTACCAAGTTATATATCTGTTGGCAACATATCAAAGAGGTTGGTCAATGACCATGTACCGCTGCCTGTATTTTGGAGACAAAAAAGGATAAGGATAGGGTAGGCGTCCGGCACAGTCTTAACATTTAACCTCTGGTAGTTCACACAGAAACAGGTCGTGTGGTCCCGTTTCGGTACTAGGACTACTTAGGAGGCCCAGGGGCTGTCGGATGACTAAGTAACCCTCAGTTGGATCAGCTCCTAGATCTCCTTTTGCATACTCTCCCTCAGGGCCGCCACCAGAAATTTTGGGGCCTCTAACTTAGCTCAGGGTCTGGGCCCCCCTGGGGGTCCGCCTCCAAGCCCGCCCACAGGGACCACCTCCAAATCCCGCCCACAGGAATACACACACAGACACAAACACACGCACTGATACAAAAGGACACAGATACACACACACACACACAGATACTGAAACAGACATACACGCATATAGGCATACATACTGACACACACATACTGAGACATACACACAGGCATACATAGTGACAGACAGACACATACTAACATACATACAGACACACATGCATAAGGACATACAGACACATACATTCTTACTTTTTCTTTGCAGGAGGGTGGCTGGGTCTGATGGGAGTCGGCGTGGCGCTCCCCCTTTTTTCAAGTCCATGCTGGCTCTCCTCCCACGCGGTGTGAGCTGGGAGGAAGTGACTACTTCCTCCCAGCAGCACTTGCGCTGCGGCTGCATTTGTTTATTTGTTTTTTTTAAAGGGGCCTGGTTGTGCTATAACACAGCCACAGCGCTGACCGGGCCCCTGAAGTTATAGGGCCCATTGGGTGGCCCTAACTGCGTGGGCCACCTGATAGGCCCCAATAACGTGCGGGCCCGGTGCAACTGCACTGGCGGCAGTACTGCAGCTACACATGACAATGGTGGCGACCCTGCTCTCCCTAACTGATTCGGTGATTCGGAAAGGGATTTGGCGTAGTGGGAGCTGACCTGGTGTCTTTATGCGGTGAGTGGCCAAAGGAGTATACCTGGGCACGTTCGAGAAGGTGGCTTACTTCTACCCTAGCAACTGTAGTACCTTGGTACGCTCCTGAGGGCTCAACCGCTCTCCCAACTTGACCTTGTCTAACTCACCTGTCTGACTCTTGTACCGTAGGAGGTTTTGTAGGGGAATGCCTCAGAGGCAGGGGCGCAGATCGCCACCACCCCCTCTGCTCTTGGTAGGGCTTCAACATGTTCACATGGATCATTCATTGCTGTAGAGGAATGGATTTGCTTTAACCGACCAAATTCCCTTTGTTCGCTGGCCGTACACCATCTGTTCAATTCCCGAACAAACTCTATGTGGTCCCCTTGTTACAAACCCATAAACACGACCATCCCTGGCTGTTAACCAAAAATGAGCAATTAGCTCAAGTGCTTTGCCTGTGTGGCCATTTTGTCTCCCGAACACAGGTAGCAGCACATGGTCGTCGAGTGTATGGAACTGTATGTCGGCTACGTGACCCTGCGAACACCCAGGAAACTTGTACCGCTGCCCGTTCAACTTCCCGACCAGTTAGGAGAACGGCATTCGAGGGAAAGGAACTATTGAACAGGTGGAGCATTACTGCGC